GAAGAGAACTTTGTTTCACCATTTTGAGAGGTACAGATTAATGTTCTGAATTCTTAACACGAAGTTTTCTACTGTAACTGATCATTAATCATCTCTTTTTTAATGAAATTATTATGTGAATTTTGATAGAATACAGAGGGCCACAAAGATGATCAAGGGCTGGAGCACCTCTCCTATGAAGACAGGCTGACAGAGTTGGGGGTTGCTCAGCCTGGAAAAGAGAAGGCTCCAGGGGGAACCTTATAGAAACCTTTCAGTACCTGAAAGGAGCCTAGCAGAAATCTGGGGAAGAGCTGTTCACTGGGGCATGGAGCGATAGGATGAGGGGTAATGGTCTTAAACTAGAAAAGGGTAGATTTAGGTTGGACATTAGGAAAAAGCTCTTCACTATGAGGGTGGTCGATCACTGGCACAGGTTGCCCAGAGAGGTGGTGGAAGCCCCGTCCCTGGAGATGTTCAAGGTCAGGCTTGGTGGGGCTGCGAGCAACCTGATCTGGGAACATCGTCCCTGCTACTGCAGGGGTTGGACTGGAGGAGCTGTAAAGCTCATTCTGTGATTCTGTTTACATATTGAAGATACATTAGACTAATGACAGTGTGTCTGTTTAGAACGGTCTCTGTGCTACATGAAATATGTCCATTTACTCTAAACCACCAAAACGCTGTATAAAAATGTTATTTTTTTTTGTAGAACTCTGTATGTATTTTGATAAAGATTAAGGCTGAATGGCTTAGGTAGACTTCATTGTTAACTACATGAAATTGCTTCTACTTAACTACTCAGACAGCTTTTAGGCTTAGACAGTGTCTATTAACTGAAGTAACTGCAGCTTTTAAGATCACAGAAATGCTGACTGAACCTCCCCCCCAGTTAAAACAGGATAGCAACACTTAATGTTATAGTGAACCGGGCCCAAGGCAGCAGAACTCAGTTTAAGGAAAACTTCTTATAAACAAGGTCTGGACAGAGCAGTGTTCAGTGCTTCCATTCAGAACTAAATGTTTATTTTGGCTTTGCTTTTAGTCTTCAAAAGAGAAGAAAATCTGGGGCAAAAACTGTTTCTCTTCTAGGTTTCTGCAGAAACCTGAACTCGTGGTAGTTGTTCTGTGCCAGCAGGTGGTAACACCACAGGACCTCCACCCTGAGATACCTCCCAGCAGCAACCGTTGTCAGACACAACCTGCACTGACCGTGTCTTGCAGCAGCAGCCAAGGGAACAACGGTGCACTGCTCGGCTGTGTGCCATCGGGTCCTGCAGGAGGTGGGAATCTACAGTGGTGCTGTTCTTTGCAAAATCCATTAAGGTTATTGATACAACTGAGCTCTTTTCTTTAGAAAAAGATTATTTATTTGCCATGTTTAGTAGGAAGATGACAACTGCTACACTCGTCTAGTGCTGCCATATTCTTAATCCAAAAACATAAACAACTGTCCATAGAAGGAAAGACATTCAACTTTAGGAAAAAGACTACAGGGTTTGTTGGTTTGCTTTTTTAAAGCTACCTTTTTATAACCAGTATTTGTACCTACTAATTTTGTGAGGTTAGTCCTGTGGTAGTGAACCGCACTTCCTAGAGAAAAGCACTAAAGTCAAACCACAAAGAGGAAAACAACTCATACATACAACTTTGGACAACGTGAAGACGAGAGCAGTAAACAGACGAGTGAAGAGTCCAAGTAGCTGCAAGCCCAGCAATGTAACAACAGGAGTAGCTGTTTACTGGCAGCTGCTGTTTTCCAGAAGCCACGTCAGAAGATGCTGTACGAAGTGAGCCAACCAAAGAGAATCACTGGCAGAAAATAAGATTAATAAACAGAAAACTCTGTACTTACTATGCTAGTTGAAAAACTAAACAAAGAGGAAAGCACCACTAATTGTTGTGCAAGGACTGAGGCTTTTCTACTGCAACCTGAGCTACCAGAGTCAGAGCTGGTACAGTCATTGCAAGGTAAAAGTGGTAAGATCACACTCATGGTGCTTCAGTCAGCCTGGAGTATCAAAAGCAGACACAAATACAATTGCTTTTCATGAAATGAAGTTTGGGTATGTTTGTCATGTACTTCGAAAACACCACAAAAACCACAGACAAGGCAATGTGTTGGCAATTCCCTTGTGCATTAAGTTTATTTTTGTAATGGAACTGCACCCTTTATTACTCTGAGGTATTTAGCAAAAATCCAGTATATCGTCATCAAAATAACCACACCGCCTATGTAAAAACATTCGTACAAAATCTGTGTCAAATGTCAAATAAATACATAAGTTCTGATATTTATGTAAAGAAAAGTGATTTGGATACTCTTACAGATTAAAAAAACCTGGCTGTTTCACATATCTTAGGCAAACATTCAGTTTTACATTAAAACAGACCTCAACCTGAAGCCCAGTTACAGGTCAAAATACAAATGTAGAAACTTAAAAGTGCCAACAAAACAAGGTAATTCAAGTACAATAAATGTTAAAAAATATATTTATTTATTTAAATTTTTAGATGCTTCCAACAAATACAGGCCATCAGGATTTAAGTAAAACAAGAACATTTGAGATAAAGGACAAGAAACATTTTGTTCCAGAATAAAATAGAAATTATTAATCCACCATCTTACAAACAGAAAAGTCCACAGCAACTTATAAAAAAAAAACAAAACAAAAAAAAACCCAAAAAAAAGACTTAGGAGTTTATTTCTGTTTCGAATATGGCCTGGAAGAATCACAATTTACATCCCAGCCACCAGGAGATGATGACAACTTTTCTGTATCCATGCCCTGGCTGTAAGCAGACAGAAAATAACTGCCCCCTTCTTGGTTCTGGTTTGCAGAAGAAATGGGGTATGGTGTTCCCAGAAAAGTCTGATGAGTGAGCACATTAAAGTGACTGAACTGATGGGACATGTTTAATTGTCTACTATAAACTTGGAAGTTACTGAAAGGAGTTTGTTCAGCCAAATTGTGGTTCTCTCCTTCAGCAGAACACGTTGTAGAAACTGGAGTAATTGGCTGTATCTCTTCCAAGTCAATTTTAGAAGTCTTTTCCATCAAGCCAATTGGTGCTTCAGGAGATAACTCACGAACTGAGAAGCAGCTTGCTTTTGCTCCATGTGAGCCCTTGGTCTCTGTCTGCAAAGCTTCCAAGTGACTCTCATACTTAGAGGCATCATTGCAGATTTCTATTTGTGAAGTTTCATCCCCTGAATCCAGAGACATGTCCTCCTCATCCTTTTCCTCATTTTCTACAAGAACTACATTAAAAAAAGAGAAAGTCCTATTCTATTGAAATACAAACTTACGTTAGAAAAGCTATACACTACTCACAGAGTGTTACGCTTCAGGTCTGTGAGTCCAATATCACTCAAGTCTTGGTCTTCTGCCACTCTTGTTCACTTACTCAACATACACACTTAACCCTCTGTGAGTGTCCAGTTATTCCGATGCTAAAAGCTTCTGCGCATTGTGTTCATGTTTAGTGTTGGGAAATCCCAACTCCCAGCTCCAAAGGGGTAAATGTCAAAACAGCATCTAAAGTTATACAGTAGGTGAACAATTAAAGGAGTACAATTACTGGTATCTCAGCCCTTTTGTTACGGTTTCTAAAAGCTATCGTTAAGTTTATCCTTTTCCTGAAAACTGAGTTACACCACTTGGGCACACATCTACTTTCTTCAATACCACGTTAGCCTATAATTCTGTATTTAAGGCTTCCTTTGATGCTCCATCCTAGCTGCTTTCCCCCCATCATTTAAAACAGAAAAAGAGTAGCTTGAGAGTTGGGTTTTCCTGGCCATCTGTAGCGTTCACTTACAAGAGTAAAGCACAGCAGTTCAGGGCCCTCCACCCCACCCCCCTCGTTAGCTAAACACAGTATAAGGGTGTGCACTATTACCTGATTGTCTTTCGTGAGCATCCAAGGGAGGGAGGCTGTTTTCAGTGACCGAGTTGTGATATCCAACAAGACACTTAAAATTCTGCATGAAGTCATCAACAGTAGCAACCACTATTCCATTATCAATGTAATTTGAAAGTGTTTTCAGACTCTTTTCTAAATTCATAAAAGGACATTTTGTATTAGTATTTAGCACCTAGAAGAGGGAGAGAAATACTGATAAATTTTGGGTTTACCTGTTAAGAAGACAACGTGTCTCTGCTGTATGTTTTGAGCCTGAAGCCTAATGAGACAGTCTAACTCTGGAGCATTCCGAGTTTGAGAATCGCAGTTATGGTAAGACAGAATCTCAACCAAGTGCTTCTTCTGATAGGTGTTCAGAAGGGTCAGCAGACTCAGGGCATTAGCATTCATTCTATAAATCAGGAAAAAGCGCACTGTTAGAAAGGTAATACTTAGAGTGACCTTAAATCAAGTCAAAAGACAGAGATGAGTTCTACTTAACAGGACTGTGGAGAGCTTAATGAAAGCTGAAGCATTTCAACCTCTGGTATGTGAAGAGCACTACTTACCTCCCCAGCTCTTTAAGTTTTTTTTGTATTTTGCAGTGGATTTTCCACTGCCATTTCCCATCTGGGGTATTGAGATCCTCCAGAAACTTTAAGAACTCTTTTAGTTTATCTGTTTTGGAGATATTGAACACAAGTTAAATTTTGTGGTATGCAAACTGAAAATACTGCTTCAACGTATACGTAAAGCTGCTTTGTTTTCATCAAAGCAGTCACACAACTACGAGCATTAACCTAGCACTGCAGGTTTTCTTCCTAGCAGATCAGCCAACAACAATATTCCAAAACTGAGCTGCTTTTTTGTAGGTCAGATGCCCAACAGTGGAATCTGCTTACATAAAAGCTGGATTTAGTCATACGTGACCTGCCTTGCTAAAATATCTGTTTAAAAAACCGGTAACTTCGTGAAAGGAAAGAAGTGACAGAAGGTACTTTCTCAAGTTTTTCTCTAGCGTATCTGTGGACTGAGTAGTAAGGAACAAAAGGTCCCATATCCGTAACTACACAACGTAAACACACTCAGAGATGAGATCACCAAGGTCACGTGTTCCCCAGAAACACGCTCTCCTGAGAAGTCACTCAGGTAAGAAAGAGACTGAATTAGCTCAAGTTCTCAAAAAAAACCTCACAAGAATTAGACAACTGCAATGACTGTGGCATCTCTCTCATGTTAGGCTTTATTTGTTTGTTAGGCATTTTTTGTCTGTGTTTTAAAGCTTCAGAAAGCGTCACACTTACCTATAGTGATAGACTCTGGATTAAGGACAGATTCATCTGACACAACAAAACCACCAGACACAAACAATTCGTTGTACGTGTGATTTTTCACATCATCCAAACTATCGACACCCGCAAAGCTGACGCAAGAAAACCTCTTCAAAGTTACTAAGCCAGGTATCTGTTTAAAAATGTTACAAGTCAGAGATGTATACCAAAGATCATACAAAAAATAAAAAGGAACTACAGAACGTTGCTACTAATGCAAAATGTCAAACTTCATAACATACTTTCAAAGAAGTACTTTTTTTATTCTTGCCTGGGGAGGCACCCTCAAAAGTATGACAGGAATGGGGCAGTGGAAGTTAAGCACTTTGGATAACTTCACTGTCCGCCCAGCACAGGCTCATAAACCACAGCTGTCAGGAACACCCAAGGTAACGTAGCAGCTGCCTCCACTTGCCATAGCAGCACCACAGAGCTAGAGGCAGAACTACTCAGGTCTCTGTACAACTTTACAACTACCACAAATAAATACACATTAGCACACACGTGGAGGTGAAGAAGCTACGGGTATCTGATGTAACAAGACTGGGGTTTTGTTTCTTCCAACAGAAACTGAACACAGGACATCATTTAACTGTGCTGTTATGAGAAAGTAACCTTGCTCAAAACGAGCTCGTCTGCCTCTGTTTAATAGGAGCTTTCTCTAGTGCACATTACTGTGTGAAATACCTTATGGATGAGGTTGGCAATGTCTTCATTCTGGATGATGATCAACAGTTTGTCTAAAGCGGCTCTTCTTTTCAGGAACTGTTCTGGATGGCACTCTGTGTTACCGAGCTTTGTGAGGTACTCCTGACACCACAGAAAGAGAAGATGTGAAGAAGGAGTGAACAGGCAGTTCAGCCAGAACAATCCCCACGTAATGACCACCCTAAGCAAGTTTCCTGTTCTAATTAATCTCAGACTGGTTTCCCTGTCTTTCCGATGCATTAATTGGAAGGATGTAGCAACACAGAAATAGGCTGTTTCAGCAAGTCAGTCATTCCTACAGAATCCCACAGAGATGGCCAACTGACCATCTGTCAGCACGGCCAGACACTGCAAGTAAAGCCAGAAGTGTTTATTATTTCACTTTCATCTTATACATTTCATTACAAAAGAACAGTAATCCCCAAAAGTCACCTGCACTATGAACCAGAGGGGAAGGGAAAAAACCAAAACCACACACGTCAACTTTCCATGTGTTCTTTCTAAAACAGCAAGCTGTCACATTTTTGCCCTTGTTATCTCTTGTCCATAAGCACAGCAGTGTCTTCAGAAAGAACCAAACTACAGCCTGTGCTGCTTTCCAGCTCTAAGAAAAAGACTGACGTAAAAGCTAAACGTGAGTGAGACCACCTCAGAAGCTCAGACAGGAACAGGACTGCCTACTTTCACAACTCAACCTTCTCTGAAACTAATTTCAGACTACCTTATGTTTGCAAGTCCAGTTTTGTATATTCTGATTTGAAAGGCACTATTTTAACACTAGAGAGGTTGAACTGGACCATACTTACCTTGATTTCTTTGCAGAGAATGCTTTCCTCTTCTTCATGAATATAAAATTTCACAGTGTTTTTCTGTACATCTTTAATAATTTCAACCAAGCTGTTAAATACTTCAGGTTTTAACTGGCTTATGAAATCAGAAAAGGCTGGTTGGATAGAAATGTTTACGTTCTCCGGGGATTTCTGTGTCTTTTCTGCTGGCTCCATCAGATCACCGCTGGAAGAGGTCTGATCAGCTGTCAACGCGTCCTCTGCTGGAACATTTAACACATGATCTGCTTCCTCCTTCACTAAGGGTAAGCCTGATGAGTGCTGCTCATTAGAATCCAGATCTTCCACCGCGTTATTACACAGTGGCTCTGATAACAGCGCGGCGTCAGAGTCCCTGCAGACAGGTAACGCGTCGGGCGCAGGGTTCAGCGCAGCGCTACCGACCGCTTCTGCCAATTCAGGACTAGAATGAATTGGTGGAGTGTGCTTCACACACGAAGAGGACAAAATGACACTATTCAACTTTTCACTCAGTGTCTTTATGTATTCCTGGACAGAAATCTCCGATGCCTGTAAACATATGTATTCAGAAAGTCTCATTATCCTCTCTGGGGCAGAGAAGACTGATGTGGACATACCACTAACGTAAGCAATATTCTTTTGCTGCAAAATTTCCTGAATCTTTCTTGCAAAGAGATTATATTCTTCTAGTAGTGTAGTCTCTATTATTGCACTAATGGAATGCTTAGTTGTAAAAGGCTGATCTGCCAGCCCACACTGATCTTCAAGTTTCTCCACTTGTCTTGTATAAAGTCCATCTTCTGCTGTCCCCTTTTGTGTGTCTGAAAATGGAGAGTATGGAAACTGATAATCAGAACTTCTCTGTCTATTTATTACCCGGGGGTCATTAGGAAGTGCATCCTTTGGCGGTAAATTCACCAGCGGCTCCTCTGGTGATTTCAGACCTATGTAGGAAGAGTTAATCATCATCATCTCGTGTTCGAAAGCCATACGCAACTGACACACCAACACCTCAAAACAGTTTTAAAAACAGCATTACTGTTGTGCCTCCCCCTCCAACCAACTTAAATGCAGAGACCCAAGTGCTACTGTCTGCTGAGGTACAGGAGCACAGCAAATGTCACAGAGGCTAACGTGGCACAGCAATAAAGTTAAAGCTTGCTCAGAAAAGCAGAACACAAGTAACCTTCCCAGAGATAGCATCTGATTAAGCACAACAGGAACTGCCTTAACTAACAAAAAAAGTCAAATTAGAAATCAAGCAGGGTGACTAATTATTCAAATGTATTTTTATTTTCTACTAGGTTATAATCCTCAGACTCAAAAGGCTTATTTCAGCTACACACTACCTTGTGGAGCTAAACTGCAAATTACAAGCTGGATGTCTGCTTCGGCAATTGAGAATAGAAGTTTTTTTGCTTGAAAAGGTAGGACATAAGCCTTGCAGGAATTATTGCTACACAGAATCAGTTATGCTGCAAGGAATTCGGAAAGCCTGTTGTAATCCAAACCTCAGTTCATTCCTGCAGCACTCTGTGTCTTCAGCACCCACATTCAGAACTATCGTTTTGTTTGGTTTTAAACCAAAGTTAAGGCTTTGTTGCCATTAACAATATACACACAAATATTTCAGATGCACACAAGTGTTTCAGTATGTATCTGTTCCGTAAGTACTTCAAAGGAGGTTTTCTTTGTTTGCTTTGTTTTTGTTTTTCTTTTAAAGTGGTGTGTTATTGTTAAAGCCAATACAGTTGTAAGCAGAAAACCAGATTTCTAGAACAGAAGCAATAACCAAAATAGCATAGACAGTGTTTCTGAAAGTTAGTGTTCTTTTGGAATGCAGGGGGTTTTGTAGCCAGGTAAAAAAAGTCATATTCAGTTCCTAATTTGATCACGTCCATCCAGATCTAAAAGGAAAATCATCTGCCACTAATGGGATCCCTTCTTCACGGTGACAGCGTGTTAATTTTACAAGACCTTGAAGAACTCAGTACCAAATCATAATGTTAATGAGCAACTTAGTTTAGGCTCATTTGAGATACAATGCACTTAAAATATGTCACACATCTCATTCTTCTTGACCTGCTCAACACTTAAGCTACATCACTATTGTAATCAAGAAACACTGTACTACAAGCAAGTCCCAGTAAGATTGAAAGCTACACCGTGGCTCTAAATCTGGGGCTACTTTTGTAACTTGTCACGTTTTAATACAGCTCATCAGCTGCACACCAATTTTTAACAATGAAATTTAGTTCTGTGGCTCTCCTGTCTGCACCCCCAACACGGGTAAAACTGCTGATAAAGTACACAACCCACCCATCCTGAATCGATGGCAAGTTTCTGTAACAGTTATATTGGGAAAAATGCTCCCAAGCTATACGTGATTGAGAACTGATTAGGTTATTTGTCAAGGGTTATTTGATGTTCTCCAGAAAGAATCTTCGTTTTTTAAAAAAGCAAATGCCTTTGGTTTTACTAAAGGTTTTTATTACAATAAACAGAATTTAAACAGAAAGAGATACTGTTGAATATGAATATAAATCCAAAATATTTTCTAATGTGTAAAAAACAGGATTAAAAAAATAAAAGGATTATTTAAACTCAAGTTACCGTTATTTAAACGGAATTCTCTGAAGGTGGCATCCTTCATAGATGAGACCTTTGTGATCTTTGGGTCACAAGTCCTCACAAAAAATAAATGCAAGAGCAAGGAGCAAAACCCAACTAAGTAAACAAACACCTCAACAACTACTGAGTATGATTTCTGATTTCAAACATACCCTTTGTTGGTAACACCTTGTAAGTGGATACGTCAAAGAAACCAAAGAGAGAACTGCCTCAAAACATCCCTAGGAAGAGCAGCTGTTTGAGAGCTGCTGAAGGAGTTATCCTCGCAGATTAAGAGTAAAATTTGTCACTGCTTAAAAGAGGTCCTTCCACAGTGACTCCAGAAGAGGATTCTTGGGTAGATTTTAAAACTGGAAGCCTACAATGTTCTGCCTCGTCCTAGTCAAGACGAACGTCATCAGAACCACCACTTTTACAAGTGTCTATTAACATACTGTCTTCTCTTAAAAGAGAGGAAGAATAAAGCAAGAACAAACACCACTTATGAGCTTAATGTCTGAAGCCAAAGAGTTGTCTCAAATTCAGACCAAGCCCAAGTTAGGATGGGTTTCTTAACACACACACATGCCCAGGTTAGCTTTCAAATAAGATTCAGGTTTGCTTAGTTTACTGAACTTAGAAGTTCACATCGCATACTCATGAAGAAATGAGCAACCCTACAATACAGCAGTAGAGCCCAGATGAGTTGAGGACCTACAAACAACTGTCTCCTCCAGCACTTTCTGATGTCAGGGAAGAAGCAAGACAGCTCCCTGCTCCTCGAGTCACAAACTATGAAGTTAGGTTTTTAAAGCTTAGCTGAACATGATCCCTGTATCAAAAGGAAAACATTTTTGTTTAAAATGAAAAACCAGACTGCTAATTTGCCTTCCTGCAATTGTGCAGAGATGGAAAAGAAAGACTGATGTCCCTGAAGTCCTTTCTATAGCTACCTTGCTACAAACATGAGAGAAACAGAGAAGCCATTCGATTTCGAAAGCAATCAGTTTCAGAAACGAGCAAAGCTTCCTTTAAATTGTATTACTGAAGTGATCGTATTTCCCCAAAACAAAAATTCAAAGCCCTCTAGAAGATGCTAAACAGGAAGATATGCCCAGTAAAATTCAAGTGCCAGTGGCCCAGTACATTAAAGGCTCTTTTGACTGTCCTACAGCCTTCTGGATGTACTTCAGTGAAGTGAGTCCACCTGCTGAGCAGCGTATTACTGATCCAATTTCCTGAAGAAAATTCAACACGAGGCAAGAATGCGAGCTGCTCAGCAGTTCAGGCCATGATGACAAATGCAAACTGTCCCACCCACTCCTCTCATCTGTTCGCTTATCTCCATGTTTTCACAGCTGATCCTCTTGAACTCTTCCTGCCCTTCCTGGAGCAGGGCAGCAGTTGGCACTTGCAGAGTTTCTTGGTATTTCTACAGTACCTTTTCCACGATCATACCGCAGAGCTAGCCAATAATGCAGTAAGAGCCAGTTTGAGGAACTGACCTTGTAGGAGCTCAAGAAATCCAGTGGTGCTCCAGACAATCTCTTCAATCCCTAGAGAACAGCACTTCTCCCTCTCAAAAGACTTCAGGGACTTTTTTTTTTTCCAGTAAGATTTGTAGTCTCACAGGTGACTGTGCAACACATCAGTCAACTGCCAAACCCTCGCAAGAACTTCCACATGCGGCATCTAGGACGTATTACAGTTTTTAGATGCTTAATAATACATTTGTTATCCCAGTAATCATATCCTCATCTATATGCACAGTGGCTATTTCCTCCAGGAGTAAAAGAAATCACATCCTATCCAAACAACTTCACACTCTCCATACTATGTAACGTAGTAAAATATCAAAACAGGTTTTTTTTATGTTTGGCCCTTAAAGAAGGTGCTGAAAGCGTTATCCAGACCTACCATCATTTCATTGAAAGGCCTATGAACACTGAAGGGAAGCCCGTTTCCCCTGCCCCTCTCCCTTCTCAGCCAACCAAAAAAGAGCTGCTGAACTACACAGAATCACAGAATCGCTCAGTTGGAAAACACCTCTGAGATCATCACATCCAACCGCTCCTGTCTACCCACTAAACCATATCCCTAAGTACCTCGTCTACCCACTCCTTAAACACATCCAGGGATGGTGACTCCACCACCTCCCTGGGCAGCCTGTTCCAGCTTCTGACGACCCTCTCAGTAAAGAACTTCCTCCTTATCTCTAACCTGAACCTCCCTTGGCACAGCTTGGTGCCGTTTCCCCTTGTTCTATCCCCCATCACCTGGGAGAAGAGCCCAGCACCCACCTCTCTACAACCTCCCTTGAGGCAGTTGTAGGTGGTGATGAGGTCTCCCCTCAGCCTTCTCTTCTCCAGGCTAAACAACCCCAGTTCCCTCAGCCGTTCCTCATAAGGCTTGTTCTCCAGAGCCCTCACCATCCTTGTGGCTCTTCTTACACAACTGGGTGGGTATCAGAAGTGTCCAAGAGACATTTCCAGCATTCCTGGAACACAATCGGAAGGTTTTTACTCAGATGATGCAGTTAAATTCTATCTGGATTCTGTGATAAGACAACTTGATTTGTAGCCCTGAATTTAGAGCTCTGGAGTATTCCTACTGCCCAGCTTCCACACAGTCCCAATCCATGCTTTTATGCTCTCCTAAGACTTGACACTGTTGCCTCATCAAGAAGTAGAACAAGAAGCTTCTCCTCTAAGATTATTCAAGATGTAAATGTTTAGATAAGGACAAAGACTCTGGAGCACTTCTAGTAGAGAAGATTGATATGGTAAGAAGCAGACTGTGTTTTACACAGAGAACACATTTGTCATGACTTCTCGGGATGATTAGTTGCAATTACCCACCCATCACAACTTTCACTAGAACCTAGGACATTCAGAGTCTGAATTCAAAACAGTTATGTACCTCACCACGAAGTACTCAGGCATTCACATTTCTAAATTATATCAGGATGCACCCAAAGCAATATTCTCCAGCAGTATCTGTTTTCATCCAGAAGATTTCTGTATTAATCAAGTATCAGAAACATTTGCATAGGAGATCATATATATAAATATATATAAATGCTTGTATACCAACGTATGAGCCAAGAATGGGTTCTATTTGTACTCACTATTTGTAGCAACATAAGAGTTAAAAGTATCTTACCTGTAATAGGAATAAGCTTCCAGTGCATTCCAACTTCTCCCGTATTATTAGGGTTGGAATGTTGCCTGCGATAAACTTGTTCTGTAGGTGTACTAGGACAGAGACTGTAGTCTTCAAAACTACTTACACTTCCAGTGCTTGCTTCCTAAAAAACAATGCAAATTCTCAGCTGAAACTTTTTTTTGGTAGTGATTAAGGTTTCACATTGTGAACAGCTGACACTATGAACACACCTGAGCTCACCAGCATACTGGCAATTTTGCTGTCAGTCAAGGCAAGGCAAACTTGGAAGTGTTTACATGAAGTACTTCAATATTTCTTTTACCTGTTTGATAACAGCTGAGACAGATGTCTTTGCTGCTGACCCATCATTAAGTAAATAAGACAGTCGTGAGCACATGCCTTAGAGTACAGAAGCTGGGCAGGACAAGGAGGAAAGGAGGCAAAGAGGGGCAAAAAATTAGGAAAACCATCCTCGGTCTTTTTCAGGCTGTTGTCTTGGCAGCTGGCTAAAGCCGCGAGATGTTCACGTTACTGAGGAACTGCCTGTAACTAGTGTCAAATCTTCAAATAATCCAATTTTGTCTCACATTCCAGATCATTAGAAGCAAACCAGCACGGAGATTACAGGTAGGGCAAACTCTTTCCTGCTCCAGGTCTTAGAAACTGGGCTTTGTGTAGCAGCATCAGTAACAGAGATCATAGAACAACCGCTCTGCAGAGTAATGTGATCGAGCACACAGCTGGGGCACTCTGAACCCCGAGTACAAGAGCCTTCTTCTGAAAGTGTTCTGCCAGTTTTATGCTGTCATGAAAAGTAAGCCACCACTGCATCAAGAGAGCACGTAAAGACAGTGAGGCTTGTGTTTGAGTGCTCAGAATTTTTCAAGTTTGTTCACACAAACTAAATAAAGCCAATTCCCCATTTCTTTTTTTTAATATCCACAGAGCATTTAAGACCTTCCACTATGCACATTTGTTAACACTGTCTCTCTCAGACACTGCTAGAGGGACAGAAACAAGCCCATCCTCTTTTCCACAGTACAGGACTGAAAGATAAAGGATTAGAATTGCAGGATCCTCACTTGGGCACACAAGTGAAGGTCGTTTTCCTGCCCTGTAAAATGCCTGCTGCTATTAAGCAAGAGAGAATACTCCTTTTGGCTGGACAAAAATCAGTTCCCAAAACTGGAGCAGTAGCCACAATTAGAGCAAACATACGCCGTATGATTGTAAAGCAGTAAGAATCACTTTATTCACCCTCAGGTCCCCATTGTGGCTAGGCTTCACGAAGGAAGATAAGGGAAGGGCACTACCCACGCTTGCTGCAAACACGCTGACGGCTGAAAAGGCCGATGTGGGATAGGCAAGTCCGGTTGCAGAGGGCACAGTGGAAAGTCTCCTTAGGCGGTACTGGCAAGGTGTCGTTCTTTCTGCGTTGTCTTTTCTCCTCAAGACTGATTCTACGTGCGCTCTCAGAGGGGCAGCAGCGTCATGAATGGTGTCTCCACGTCTCCATGATGGCAGTCAATATGGCCAAAACCGAGGTAGTGTTTCAGGGAGTCCTTGCGTCTCCTCTTTGGGGCTCCTCTGTCACGGCAGCCGGCGGCAAGTTCACCATAGAGCATGATCTTAGGGAGGCAGTGATCCTCCATCCTGGAGACGTGCCCTGCCCAGCGCAGCTGCGTCCTCAGCAGCATGGCCTCAATACTGGTGACCCTGCCTGCTCAAGGACAGTGACATCAGTCACGCAGTCAGCCCAGTGGATGTTTGGGATTGTACAGAGGCAGTGCTGATGGAAGTGCTCAAGGAGTCGCAGGTGGTGGCGGCAGATGACCCATGATTCAGACCCGTATAAAAAAGAGCAGACAGTACAATGGCTCTGTAGACATGAGTCTCTGTACTTTTCTTCAGGTGTTTATTGCACCAGACTCTTTCATGGAGTTTTCCGAAAGCTCTGTGTGCCTTTGCCACCCTGCTGTCTAGACCCTGAGGTATTGTCACCAGAAAAGGTCACTCACACACAGAGTCAGCTGAGGTGAGCTGCTCCCATTGAGGGTTTTCAATCGTTTGTAACAAACCAGTCCAGAACCCATAAAATACAACTGGCTTCCAAAGACAAGTGACTCAGTTTTGCCAACCTGTTCGGTAAGAACAGTCCTACGACTGATACATTTATTTTTGCTTTGCATTTGTGGGGAGAAGAGGGAAGAAGTCTGGGTGCATAAGCTTTGAAGGAGATTGTCTCAACTTAGATCTAGGAGGAGGCTGGTCATAAAAATGCCTGTTTCTGTGCCCGAGATGGAATTTCAAAATCATAACAAGCCATCATATCCAAACCACCTATCAGCTCTATAAGGCTCTAGTAAGTAGGACACAATTATTAATGGCCTGCCCTGCATTCCTTGTTGGGAGAGAATCCATACAGAACAGCAACTGCTGTTATAAAACTTATTTTTAGGAAGAGTACCAGCTAGGCAATAGCTATGATGAAGAACTCTCAAATCTCTTCTTCTGTTTCAGGTTCAGCAAACCTCAAACACCCTCGCCAGACCAAGCGTCACCCCTGAAGGAGGAGGAGATGAAAGGCACTACGCAAGCTGTTACAGTAACACGGTACCTATCCCGTGCAACAACTTCACAGATTGCTAAAAAACCACTACAAGCAAGGTGAGATCCAGATTAGAGTATCTTTTTTTTACAAGACATAAAAGACAACTGCAAGGCTTTGGCCTCAGCAAAAATGAAAAAACACCCTGAAGAGCACTCAGCACCAGGATGACGGAAATTCTGCTGCCTACTGCTCCAGCAGCAGCGTATCACACTTGCTGAAAAGCTACTGAGGAAGACTGAGACAGAGTTGCTTTCCATCTTTCTGTAATGTAATTAAATTAAGAATTCCTGAAAGAGTAGACATAAAGAACCAGGAACACACATCTTACAGTTAAAAAAACTTCCACATACACTCATACTGAACAGAAAAGCTTCACAGAAAAGTTAGTGCTTACCTATGTTTACTGATGTACAACATTAGATTTACATTCTTCATTCAGTCTCACAATATTTATGACAGCAGTACATTTATTATCACCATCTACCTACGTGGCAGTTTCACTTACTTGTATATGTAGCACGTGTTCAGGGCCTGCTTCATTAGCTGAAAGCCGCAGATCAACATCAACAGGGTAGGGTAAACACGCCACCTCAGTTTCCAGTATCACTGGGCTTTGTGGGTCCTTAAAGTTCACATTTTCAGCCTGAGCAGCATTAGGAAGCTCACCATCATCTTTGTCCTGTGCTGGAATGGATTCATATTCATATTTTTGTCTCATATCCTCTTCAATTTCATCAGTGCTTAATCCTAAAGCTTGATTTACAGACCGTGCCAACGATGAATCCAAGCGTCCTGCACTAGCTAGTGTTTCTAGAAGTAGTTTAATGAGGCCATGAGTGTCAGTAACAGCAGGGTTGGATACATCTTGCTGCCTCAAGTCAGTGTCCTGTCCACCAAGACCAGTATTAACCGAGAAAACAGTGTGTGGCGAATCCAAGGTTCTGCCCCCTTAGAGTGCGGGGGCCGGAGGGGAAAAGTAATCCATTACTAAGTTTTAAAATAAAAGCAAAACCAGAGCCCCACCCAAACACCTACCACGTACCCACAGTCTCAGACTTTAGCATCAATTTATACAGTACACATACATTTAATTTCTTAACAAGTTAAGTTTTTAAGCAGGTTGATAAAAGGGCAGTTCCTAAAGCTCCCCGTATAAATAATTACATTTTTTAGGTCACTCAATACCATACTATTCTGTGTTTTAATAGATGTCACATACTTTGATCGATGTATTCTATGGAAACCTCATGGAATTCTCCATCTCTTGTTGAGAGAAAGATTAGTTTGAGAAAAATATTTACTTGTCTCCACCCTACACCGTTGCTCCAGAAGCTGATGAGTATCTGAGATAACTTGTGAGCACCAAGTATAAGCCTAAAACTTTACCATGCCTATTTGTACTAAACATAGCCTTAGAACAGGGTTATTCTTCTTCTTTTCAACCCCCTGGATGAATAACTCTCATAGGTATTTATTCTTCTTTCAAAGAAACAGGCCAAGAAACTACTGTGATTATCTGATGAACCCCTAACTCATTTATCAGACATGAAAACCTAATCATGTTTAGTAAGTCACAATATTTGAGGTAAGAGTTTTTGCAAGGCAAACAAATTACTTTTAGGTTTATGTAAAGGCATGGAATTCAAGCCAAAACTAGATATTGCTGTTTGGGCATCACTGAAGGAGTTAAGCCAAAGTTTTGCTTTAAACAGATACTGTTCTGATTACAGCCAGGTAGAAATGCATTCACCTATCTTACATTAACAATCCACGTACAGAGACCCTGAAGGTTCAGACTTCCAAAGAGGTATCCCAAGATCTAGCACGCAGCCTGCCCTCCATCTCCTCTACCCACACGTGCCAGTATCTTTTGTCCCTCAAAAAAAAGAAAAACTTATTCCTAAAGATCAGCCACTTCATCTCCCAAAGCGGTTCACATACACATGAGAATGAGTGGTGCCTGATGTAACTCCCCCCCTTTTTTGTGTCATCCTTCTCTACCCGATTTCCCCCCTTCTGAAGGGGGCCTGTATCACTGCCTTCAGAAAAGGGTCAAGGAAACAGAAATCAAAAGGGGAAAATGTGGTTTTTTGGCAGATCTTCAGTATCAGATAATATCTGTGATAATCATCTGAGGTTTGGATGTAGCTATTCCATGTGTAAAATAATTAAGTTTGTTTCCTTTATCCCACTACGCTGACTTATCACTATTACTGACTATTTCAAAATTTAACTATGCTCATGCTTAGAAGTTTAATTCTCCCCTTCAATCTAAATTTATTAGGTATTATTTAAGGTTTTGGAGCCATCAAGAATTCCAGCAATGCCCAAAGTCAAACTCTGCAAAAGACATTATGGTATCGAGGCTGCTCAGTACCCTGTATTAGCAAGTCTCTGGACAGCTCCACAGCTAAGGCAGCTCTTTGGAAGTCTGCCCTCTTTCCAAAGAGGCACAGCAAATGCAGCCTTCATAAGTCCTGCAACTCGTCTGCCACAAAGAGGCAACCTACAGAAAAATGAATTGCATTTCTATTGACAGACCTCAGGCCAACGTTTATGTGAACTGCCATGCATTGAAATATCCACAGCATGCAAAAAACAGTCAGTCTAAAGTGATTAAGTGTTAAGAATGCTTTAATTACACTGTTTAAAGAAGAACTCTAAGCAAAGACTTCCTTACCTTCATACTGACAACTATTCTCTGAAGATTCACTCGTTTTTAGGTATTTCCGCAAATTTTCAGAGTGCTTTTCCAGCTTCCTTTTCAGACCACTTTTCATTCTAAGGTCTTCGGAATCAGAATCTCCACCTACGTTCTTTTTCCTGCACTGGATTAAGTTAATAAGTTCTTTGAGTCTATCGGGATCGTAATCTCCAGAATGAGGCGGTTTGCGCTTGGCAGCGGTGGCTTCGTATTTTGCACGGATTCTTTTCCCGCTTTTTGCATTTGCAAAATCAGAGTCGTCTCCTGTGGCTTCATAATCTGAGATGGGACTGAACTGTTGAGGTTTCCGATTTCCCTCCATCAGTTCCTTAGCTCTAGAAACAGGTAGTTGATATGCCTCACAACCAAAAATATAGTTTTGCAAGGAGCTGTCAATATGAGATTTATTTTTTGGAGCAGGGTAAAGAAATTTTTTGTCATCCAACCGTGATTCATACCGATATAATACAAATTCTCTATATTTTCCAGAGCCACTAAAGCATCTTTTCAAATACTCATTTATATACTTTTCCACAACAGCACTGAAATCTGCAGTAGTGTCTTTACGAGACTGGATTAAAGCAAAATGTAGAGACTGAATAAACTTTGTGAATTCTGGAATGATTTCCCGATTTTCGTGCAACACCACGGTAGTTGAATTTTTCTGTGTTCCAAATGGAACACTTTTTTGTGCTGCTATAGGAGAAAAGGGAATTCACAATTAAAATCAAATCATAGAGCTATAAATCAATGATGACTAATTAGCAATATTCTGTATTATACATATTTGGTGAAACACAGTTTGGAATGACTGGAGAAATGACCCCAAAACCAGGAAAAAGATTTTTTTTTAAGTAATCAGCTTTAAAGTCTACTTAAAAGTCAACTCACAGCGATAGTGAACTGCTCATTTTCATACTTTTGCAGTAACCTGTGTCCTAGATACACACCATTTCCAATTTAAACCACTTTACAGACCCTTCTAGAAGGTCACTTCAAAGGTTTACTGAGGTTTACGAAGAAGCAGCCTAACAGCTCCCTGCAGGAGACAGGGAAAACGTTACTCCTCCCTCTGCTATCCCGATGCATTCCTTGTGCTGCTTTTAAGCTCACTCGACCCTTATAAAATGATTCAGCTTCGTAACCCAGCAGAAACCTAGTTTTTCCCATCCCCTTGCAAAGCAAAGCAACTCACTGAATTAAAGACATGCAACAGGAGCATGTCCCACGAGCAGATTTCCCTGCCCTGGGAAGCTGTTAGGTCCTCCTACCACATCCTTGACACAGCAGCTCAACAAAACTAAAGTTTCCTTCTTTTATTTTATTTATTTACTCACAATCTTTCCCCCTTCCAATCACAGACTGAACTTTTCTTCATTCAACCATTTAAGCACCTCCAAAGACTCAAACCAGGGATTAACCTTGTGTCTGATGGAAATTGGAGCTCACACATCTTTGAAATGCCACAGCAGCAAGACCTGGAGTATTCTTAAGGAACTGGCACGCACACACTTTAAGTGTCATATATTATATTATATTTCCTCTTACCCAATCTATAACTGATTGAATTTTCACAATTGTTACTTAAATAAGAAAAATGTAAGGTGCTTATTAAAATAAGAAAAATTGAGGTGAGAATCCAGGAAGCTGCCAAAGACTTAGGACAAGAACTTCTCTGTAAGAGTGAAATGCCTGGAAAGAGCTGGTTTTGACAGTACCACCTGTAACTTGCAGCAGGTCAAAAAGGCCTGCATTCTGCTGCAGCACCTTACTGCAAATTTCAGCTGTAAGAGATTAACTTTGAAGTCTCATCCCAAAGCATTAAAGTGCTACTAAAGCCAAGTCCTTTCAGTCATCTTTTATTACCTGGTTGCATCAATACTTTCTTTGCTCATTTACTCAGTTTATGGTGCATATCCCGATGCAAAGAAAAACAACCAAACCCCAAAGCTACAGGTTTTTAACTACTTTTAACTTCTTTGACTACTTTAAAGACTTTCAGATGTTTTGTCCTTAATGCTTTGATGGTCAAAGAAAACCTTCAAGCCTCTGAAGTGCAATGCTGTTACTAAACCACAGGCCTCAGAATAGTGATGCTCCGTTCTACTAGAATACAATCGAGGAATTTGAACACAGTTTTATTTTCTAAAATATGAATAAACAAAAGTGTGGTAACAGCAAAGCAACAAACACATTTGGAACACCATCACCATAACCAATACAAACTGTGATTGCTAGTTTGTGCTGACAGGCTGTAACACTACAAAGTCTTCGACAGAATATAAACTACATTTAAATAAGCACGTACAAAATACTCTCAATACTGAACAAACTTACTTGAGCTCATTATACCTCTAGGTTCTGGAAACAGAAACAATGCATGGAGCATGCGGGACCGTCCCGTTTGGTGGTCTAGAACACAAGACAATAAAATCATTTGAAAAGAAGACGACCACTATGCTTAAAAAGTACCCAAAAACCCAACACCCTAAACCAAGACAAAACCAACTAAGTATGCATACCATAAGGGGACATCATTTGCCAAGGAGAAAGAAGAAAAAGAAATCCTCTGTCCAGAAGTGGTTTCACAAGAACCTGTTTTGAAGCAAGAAAGTAACACATTTCCAGCAAAGACATTTGCTCACTACAAATGCTCTTACTGTCTTAAGCTAAATTCCATCATGGGTAAAGTGTCCTGATACAGTATTTTAAAATATGCCACCTAAGGAATTCCAGCAAGGTCATGATCTTGTAGTACGCCTCAATTACTAGTTAGTAAAATTATTTTTGAAAACAGGAATAGTCAAATCTGTTGCACTCACAAGTTTCTCTCTCTCTAGTTTTTGAAGTAAACCCTCCAAGTGACTACCAGAACGGGACTTCTCCACAACTTCATAAAGGCTACAGTACATGCCATTCTTCAACACTGATGTGATACAAGGGTAGAAAGAAAACGTAAGAAAAACACAAACAAAATTGTAATTCAGAAAACTTTTTTAAATTATGGATTTTAAGAAAATTAAGCTAGAACTTCTTACCTTCTTTTGCTCCTAGGTAAGTTTCTTTATAGAACAATGCTGGTGAAACTTTTTTCTTCAATTGATCAATGCTTACAACATTTTCAACCTCAAGCTTCTCTGGACTGGAGACAAAGGGTGAAGGGAGGGAGAAAACAAAATAAAGACCTCTTTTTTCCCTCCTCCATAGTCCTACCTTCATTGACCAAGAACTATCAACTACGTGTTCTTAAAAATCAGTTCCTTGGACTATCTCCTGAGCCAGTGATATTTACTCCTGTCAAGGAGTGTGTGTCATTTCAAAAGGAAAAAAAAACCAACCCTAACAAATCCAAACCAAAGAAACAAAGATGCTGACAGAGTTGTGTGCAGCTCTGGACACAAGAGTCACGACACATTTAGAGCACTCAGTCAACGTTTATTTTCAGATTTTCATCTGAATACATCCAAAACTCACCAGTCTCTACTAGAAAGAGTTTTAACACAGCAGTATTTCACACTTATTCTTTAAATGGTAATACTCACAGCTTGCACGGAAGGAAAGGACGTGCTGCTGATTTCAAGGAAACATGGCACAGAAGTTTGCCTTTATTCCAAAGCTGTCCCCTCCATAATGTGTAGTTAGATTTATCTAAATTAAGACAGAAAGAGTCCAAGTGAAACCACTTGCTAGGTGGGACTGAAAGGAGATGGCAGTAAAGAGGCTGCTGAATCTCCAAAAGCAGTTTAGGGAAAAATTCATACTCATACCAGAAGAGTAATAATATGTTAAATAACAACTGAAAAGGTAACAGAAAGGGTGATTACAATCCTATCTTGTTTTGACCTGCTGAGCAGAGCAAGGGAGGTTGGTATGTCACCTGTACCTGTGTATTTAAGCATGCTCTTGATGCCAGCATCTGTGGAACGATATCCTCTTTCCTGACCTTACCTGTCAACCACTTTCATACATACAATATTTTGCTTGAATGAAGTCCAAAGGAAAAGCAGGACAGAGGATCATATTATTTGAAGTGCCACTGAACAGCAGATTCAGGAACAGAAGGTAAGTCCTTACTATGCTTTAAGTGGAAAGGGGTGGTGGGGGGAAGAGTTTTGATTTGGATCAGTTCTGGTACAAGAAGATACACATTAAGGTGTCTGTTTGGTCATCCAGTATCAGCAAGGGACACCTGCAGTCAGTGCTGGTACACGATAGAACTCAGGTATGCAGTCTGCATAACTAAGCATTACCCTTAAAGACAAAACTACATGAGGAAAAGAGTCCAAAACCTTCCCTGTCTGTATCGTAAAAGCAATAAAATTTAAATTTATTCTTACCTGTACTTCTGTCTGTGTGGAAGTTGTTGGATCTAACAAAAAAAGACAGTGTCAAGGTTGAGACAGAAGCTTCTGGCTACTACATTTGACATTAAGGATGTTTTATCAGTCTAACAAAATAGCAACACTGACAACTCTAACCTCAAGCTATCCCTGCTGCAGCACCTTGTGCTATTTTAGATATCCTGGTAAGTACTTTTAGCACTACACAGTAAATTCCCACGTAAGGATGTCTCCTGGTCAGCACAGGTATTATACCGTACCTGTAATCCACTACCCATTTAGATACTCTCTCCACAAGCAGTAAGACAACACCAGAGAAGAGTTCAGTGAAAAAGTGTACTGAACATCTTTTCAGAACACCAAGCAAGATAACTCTGTGAACATTTTTAAGTCTGTGAATTTCCTCAGTTAAAAAAAAAAACAAACAACCCAAACCACGCACACAAAAACCCAAACCCAAACACTTCATGCAGGGATTCAAGCTCGGCAGAAGGTGAGCAGGTAAAAGGAGCACCAGAAGTGCTTCCTCCAGGGGCCAGCCTGCTGCAGAAATCCAGTTCTGTCACCTCTTGCTTTGCATTGGAAGTTTTCATTATGCCAAGTCCCTGTGACACATCCATTCATTTCCACACTGTTCATCTACATCAGTTCTAATCTGCTGCCAGGAGCTATGAACTCTTCATCCTGCACAGTCTTTCCAAAACTCATCTCCTAGCTTACCTTGACGGAGGGAAGAATTTCGGTACTTGAACCATTTCATCTTTGTAAGTAAACGAAACCACAGCGTAAGGACAAACATGTCTTGGTCTTCGCCTTATCTCATCAAAGCCATATTCATAGAAATAGTACTACAAAAGAAGCAAACACAGTGTGACATTAGCAGTCTGGTAAACTGTTCTGCAAACACACCAACAATCCATGACCTTTCTTTACTGAAAGGTGTACTCTGTTTCACGGAACAGCTTACGAAACACAGCTCATGATTAATTACTTAAACAAAGGGAGTTTGTTTGAAACCCATTATGCTAAATATGAACCAGTATATAAAACAAGTCTAAGTTACTACAATAAATCACATTTATGTTCCTCTAACCAACAGCCCATTAGAAGGGGGAGAGAAGGGGG